GTAGAGTGTGAAGCATGTTTGCAGTTACTTCTATGCTTGACTCTAGCGGGTCTATCAGGTCTCTCTACTTTCTCACTCTTCATTTGTTTGATGACTATCCCGATTTTTTCGATCGTTAGTGGAGTGACACTTATAAGAAAGTCTCTGTGTGCTGCTTCAAAGTTGGGTGGGTTCGGTGAGGTTAATTCATTCAATAGTTTCTCGAAGTATTCTGCCATCTTTCCTTTTGTTCTTGAATTTTAGCGACTGGCTTGATTTCTCTGTGTTGTATCCTAGTGAAGATTAAATTACGGGTAAATTCTGGGAACGATTAATGGACTGAAATTATGTATATATTCCTTTTGTATAACTGCTCAGTGACTAGATTATGTATTTCTATGCTCCTCTTATTATAAGCTTCATTTAGACTTAAAGATTATTATTATGCGATTTACTGTTCTCAAGTTATGTTCAGTCTGTTAATTAACGTCTCCTATGTTCACAGCCACATTTAGCTTGATCTTGTTTGAATGTTATTTCTTATTTTATGGGGTAATGCGGTTTGTTTTTCTGATATATAAACCAAATATGTTTGAAACAAATTATTCTCATAGTGGAATCTGTTATTGTAGTTCTGGACTCAATTGGACGGGCTAAGCGAACAAGGGACAATAAAGGACACTAGGCTGCTCATACCAGTCGAACGTCTTTGATCTGCCACAGTGCTAAGATTGACTAAGTCGTATTTCGACCAGTGAATAAATTACTTGATAACTAGCCTGGCTTAAAGTCACAACATTTTGCTCCTGACTGATATCCCCGATTTACAATATTTCCTTACCAGTTTTTTCGTTGTGTCACAAAGTTTTTTTAGATTTTCTTTCGAAACTTTTTCCACTGTCGTTGTTAGCTCTTCTACGTATTTCTGCTTGTCGGCTCTAATACTCTACTTCACCTCCTTGCTTTCTTCTGTGTATTCAGTCAATACCTAGATTTTCTTGACTTTCTCTGTCCTTGTTCAGCTGTTGTTATTTGTTGCCTCCTTGTTCCTTTTTTCCCGAACCATATCCAGTGTTTCGACAGAGAGTCGTTTCTTATGATGGTGAAGTTACGATCCGGAACCGCCCGACAAGTTGGAGTTAGTGTTTCTTTGATCCCGTTCCAATTGCCCACCATCACACTTGCTTCTTTTTTCAATAGATCCTGCAGGGCTTGGAAGCTAATGTTGAGAACCATCTTGAAGTCTTCACATATAAGCTTTTATCCAATAAGTCCTTTACGTGCTTCTTTGGACGGCATCAGTAGAACTCCCTGAGCGTATGGAGCATTTTCTTTGTGACCAAAGTACAGCAGCAATTTTCCGGAATCCGCTTCTTGCTTTTCAGCTTGGATCCATTGGATTTCACGAATTCCGAGAACCGTTAAGTCGTATCTCTCGATTTCGACAGCTATCTGACTGGTTTTCGTGGTCATTCAAATTGTCTTGATATTTCATATACCAATAGTGATAGTTGTTCTGGTTATTAGAGTAAACATCGATCTCGTGACTCCCGAAGAACCTCGGCTTTCACCATAAGGCGTCATAATTCATCTAAATGAAGGTTCATCAACACTCAGGGTTGTGTGTAAATGGTTCAAGCGAGTTTTTTCAGTTCGCGTTTTGTTAGTAGTCATTTTCTACAAGGTACAGTTGCTGACCACATCCCGGACTCTCCATCTTTATCCAGGTGTTTGAGCTTGTGGTAACTGTAGGATTTGTTTGATAAATTACCCTGGAAAGTCTAAAGACAGAGTTGCTGGTTAGCATTTTCTTTATTTATTTATTTAAAAACAAATATTGGAACAAAATGCATTGAATACATATACGCCACACAAATCATTTGGTTTGTGTGAAGGCCGTGATTCTGCCCGCAACAAAGCAGGTGGTTTCTTCAGGGGGCCACACCCGGAGCCTTCTACCTAAATGTCTGACCCGCAAGGCAGTGTAACAACGAGAGGAGATGCAGTCCCATGGTAGCTAGTGACCAATGGTAGGTCCATACGCCATTTGTTCCCCCAGGATTCTGGAGCCCATGTGCACCATTGGTTTGAAATAAGAGTTTTCTAAGTCCTTTAGGTAAATCAATCATACCCATCACCAACCCGGTTAAAACGCCGGACATTCGCTTTTCGTCCTTTGAATTTTGTAAACAATAGTCTGCCGCGAGAAAGTAGTGAGTAGGACTTTTCTGGTAGTGTCTGTATACGCGTGGCCATGTAAGAGCATTTCGAGTGACAGATATCTGACTCTTCTCATCCTTGACCATACCAGGATATTTGAGGTCGCTGGTTTTTTCAGTGTCCATGACAATAAACATACTTTTGGTATGATGTATTTAATAGGTGATAATACGAAGTTATAAGACAACTTCAGCAGAGATACTGATGAACCGGTAAATGTTGTGAAACTTTGATTGGTGTATGTATATGACAGGTACGTATGCCATGAAGGAGTAAGGTGGGAAGAAACGTGATGCCATGACTAAAGGTATCAAGACAAAGAGAAAGAGAAAAGTTCTTAGTGATTTAGGCATGTGTATACAAGTGATATATTGTGTGGCAATTGAAAATAGAAACGACAATTCTCAACCCAACAGTGATGGTGGTGAATCCATGTACTCAATGTGTAGTGGCAATTGAATTTTCGAATTCCGTCACATTGTTTTAGGATACGGTAGTGTGCCCAGATGAGATAAAATTTTGAAAAATGGGTTGTTGTCAGAATAATGTCCACTTCGATATTGTTACGTCCAAGTTTTACTCGTTCTCGTTATTGAAGTTTTGTAAATCAATCTATTTGCAATGTACGAACCCAAATTAACAATTGAACCAAACTCCAATCTAGATATCAAAGTTTATTCGCAATTTACAAATAGTCGACCCAAATGTCGTTCTAACAACTATAATTATAATAATTGCAAAACAAACCTTCAATTTTGTAGGTTCCAGGAGCAAAAACGCCCAAATATCAAACTAAAGAAACCGAAACGTTCGAAATTAACGACATAAACAAACAAGTCCAGAAGTTGAGTAAAAGAAATAGATCCATAAACGCGTTGAAACCAATAGTGTTTAATATAAAGGTTTTAATCAGCCAAAAGTCTTCAGTTTTCCCGTAATAGTGTCAGATGCGTTTATCCTTGCTGCCAGAAAGATAGACCGAATCGGCGAATTGTAGGTTTACCACGATTAGAGTACGTAGAAATCACATCATTTCCAATAAGGCTCGTCTTATAGTAACAGGGAGAAATATGTTTTTAAGGAACTCTTACGAAAATATTTGGACTAGGGATAGATCAATACGTTCATTGTGAAACGTAAGAAGTTACGCACAGTGACTACGCCTGCATGATCGAGCCAATCCTGTTGGGTGTCCACGCCTTCACATCCTTTTAGAATTTCCCTCAGTGTTATGTGTTGAACGCAAATTTTCTCAGTTGTCATGTGTTCGGTCTCAAGGATACTGTGGCTGAGAGCCAACACCACTACATGGTAAGAAATATCTGTCTAGTGAGACAAGGTTGTTGGAAGCACTGCACTCTCCACACGGTCTAAAGAGGTTTCCTTAGGAACTATGTACAACACTGATGGACAGAGACTTTTGAAAGGCGTATAATGTCTAAATCTATCATCATAAATTCACCATTGGCGATAGTAAGCTGTTCAGAGTTGAGACATGTGGGATAAACAAAATCAAAGAATCATTTTTTTGAAGTGGAGTTTACTATATTATAACACCGATTTTTAGTTTGATACATAGGTAGTAATTAATAAGAGATTCGCTGAACAACCCAACATGTTCATTAGCGCTATTTTGTGTCTTGCTTGATAAATGTTCAGATGTCCCTACTTTCGATATTTTAGGAAGACAACTCTACGCCATTTGAAGTTTATAAGAGAGTTTTGAGATCGACAAAGGTGTTTATCTATTACTAGGTTTAGAATTTCGGTTGTGTTGAAAGGTTATCAAAAAGTAATGTCGTTCTTGAGATTGAGTGTTAGCTGACGTCTACCGTGCTAATTTATGTGAGACCAATCAGGATTTTGGATCAGGAATTTGTTGTATATTCAACGTTATGGGTGATATTTACTTATCAATGGATATCACTTGCTGTATCGATGGAAGTAAGCAGACTAGTAGTGAATGTATCTTTACTTACGCCGTGGAAAATAACAGTTGAAAAGCGAGGTTATCTTCTTCAAACATACAATTTTTTTCAACGTTCAACGTAAAATAATAAAGCGAGATAATACCTATGCAAATTAAGGAAGTGAATGAATCTTTGAGCCATGATTTTTTGACATTATTAAGATGCATGCAGCCAAACATCAAACAACCTACCAACCCGAGTTGTTGCAGTATCACACTAGCCCCCACTAGGTGTCTACAAGAAATTGATTTACGATCTTCTTGTCTGTGATGTAGATGAAATTATCTTCTACGCGAATTCGGTTGACGCTAGAAGCCATCAGCGATCTATTATTGTGGCGTTTCTTAGAGCCGAATTAACCCAGCTTTGTGTACCTTTATGCTTTGGTGCCAAATCAGATTCTACACCAGAAAGTGTTAAGGCAGCTGGTGCCTTTTGTACGTCTCAATTTTATTTTAGATCTATTTATAAATTGTTTTGTTGCCATGGTCGCGATAGCTGCACTGTTGGTATACTTAGCGTTTACTTAGATTTTGTAAGGTAGTTGCTTTGTACGATCTCTAATAAAGTGACTGTTCGTGATTCAACGAGGTCCACAGACCAAAAGTCAAATGAACGGAAATTACACTGAATTAATACAAAACTCAAAATTATATTCGTACAAGATCCTTCATTTAATTTTTTATTGGCAAATTGTCTTTGGGAACTTAACATCCTCCAAGACATTAGTAGTTTATAAACCTCAGAGAAAGCAATTGTACTTGTCATTTGAAAAATTTCAAACAGCGAATATTTTATTGACTATATGTATGACTGTTACAAGAAGTGGCAGGAAACTAAACTTCTCATATAAAACAAATCCATGCATAAAAACAGCAAACTTCTATGGAGCTAGTCGTTCGTATACCCAACCATTTTCTCCAACATGTACTAGGTCAGATCCATTTATTTCTGGAATTTGATCACAACGACGAAATCTAATACGATCATGCAGTCTGTTTGTTTGACCTTGCCAAAACTCAATTGATTTCGGAGACAGAATATATCCTCCCCTAGCAAAATATAAATAACAAATTTTTTCCAACGTTATCAACAATGTGTTATCTTGTACAAACGTGGATCGGTACAATTTGTCACATGAAAATAGGATGCACACAACTACCACTATGAAATTGTAGGTGTCATTACCAAGGTTTGATTTGATAATTTCGAATAAAGTGAGCGTTGGGTTGATTGTTATAAATAAAAATAATATATTTGTAATATCCCAATGAGTAGAAAATTGGATTTTTCTGACGTTTCGTGGCTTAGTGTAAGTCACTTCTTCAGAGAATTTATTTTTATTTATACCACTATGAAAGTTATACGGTTCGAAATAATAACAGTATTATCAGCGATAGTAAAAGCTAAGCATATAGAATTTAGTCTTTAAAAATGAAATTGAGAAACAAATACCGTGAAATAATGTTAAAACGCAGGAACTGGAGAAAGATGAAGAATGAACGGAAACTTGCCAGTGCAAAATATTTCGTCTAGTATCAACCACGGTATGTAGTCATAGGTTGCGGTTCTGTAAAATAGTCAATGATTAATTTGGTTTCATTTAGCCTGTCAAACTAGAACTATTTTAGTCACTATTACGCGTCGTGGTGGCCAATGTTCTTCTACATTTCTGAAGCCTCAGTGAATGAAAGTTCACAACACCGTCGAACGGTTTATAATCTTTACCTAGTAACTACATCTAACTTCAGTATTACCAACTTGGTTTTATAGAAACGCCACATCCCATAATCAAAACAGGAACAATCCATTATAGCCAAACCAACGTTGTGACTGACTGACTGACTGAGCCAAACTGACTAATAATTGCTGAAAGTGTTGAGATGCATGTTAATATACCATAAACTTAATGTCTTTAATAGCGAAATTCACGCATATAAAAGATATAAATGCAGAAGCAGGTTTTATATTTTACGATGAATTGTTGTAATAACAAGTGGTCAACATAATCAGCCATCGTTTAACTCAGTAGCAGCTACAGGTCAGCATTTTAATCTTATTGGTGTTAAGTAATGAAAACTGCCTGCACTCATGAAGAAACTTAAGAATCGTAGGGTCCAAATCTACTGTTTTTTAGCATAGTCATTGCTTGACTGATCAACAGACTCGATATAAAGTTTGTGAAACCACATAATTGGCTAATCATTACAACAAATTACCTAAGAATAGAAAATGAGTAAGTTTAAAATTTACCAACTGAATATGAATCTATCGTGTTACTTGTAAAATTAGTAACGAGCAAATAACTAAATCGGTTTTTATATATGCTTAATTCTGTTGTTTTTTATGTGATGTAGGTCGTACAGCCAGATGAATTCATCATTGTATTTCTGATCACTCATTATGGTGGATCAAAGGATAATAGAAAACAATAAGAAGCCATGATCCACTACGTTTCGCCGATACTAGCCGTCATATCAGTATTTCAACTTTTAAAGTTATCAACAGAGTTCTACTGAACTCAAAACTAAGACTCCTACTGTTGTGGATGCGGAGGAATAGACCAATAATTATCATGTTAAGTCCAATGGTGTCCTTGGACTCTAAATGGACATTTCCTATTGGTCGATATCTGTTCACTTGTTGAATATTGTACAAAATGTTGTTTTCTATTTTATGGTACGATGCGGTATGCTTGATTGGTATATAAACAAAGTATGTTTGAAATATAATGATTCATATCTCAGAGGTTGTGACTTGTGTTCTGGACTCAACTGACTGGGCTAGACAGGGAAGCGAGATCAATCGAGACTCTAGGCCGTCCGTACGTGTTTACGTGTCATTGTAATCGATCGATAAATATGCTGCTCTCTAATTTTCCAGTCAAGGGCACAACAATTAGCACAGGGCGAAAATCGGCCGAAACTTGAAGTCATAACACCTACATACAACAGAAGCCATAGAAATACGCATGAACAAACCTTATCTTCTGCATACAGGAGACGCTGTTATGGCTCCTTAATCTTCCTTAGCCTTCTACCTAGTCACTTTTACATTTCTCAAGAAAGATTTTTAATCTTTTCAATGCCGATCAATTTTATTTCCTGGTTTTATTCTTGTGTAACTTGCCTTTATAAGCTGATTATCTAATTTTTGGCACAATCTTTATTACTTATCCATTATCAATTTTACAAGTAGCATTATTCATTCATATTGAGATGGTATGAATTTTCACCATTTATTTGATATGAATTTCATACTTAACCGCAAACCAATATATTTGTGAAGAGCTATGACCAGGAACTAACTAGAAAGGAAAACCTTTTTCCTTTGACCAATTTGTAAATAGGAGAGATACTTAAACAATTAGTACCTTTTTGACATGTAAGACTCGAAATCTGAATGTTGGGTATCATGTACCGTATCAGAAGTAATTAAGTTAATTAGTCTTCTGATATTATCAATTTTACAAGTAGCATTATTCATTCATATTGAGATGGTATGAATTTTCACCATTTATTTGATATGAATTTCATACTTAACCGTAAACCAATAGTTAATTCATAAAGGTATATATTAGGAACGTACCAATTTAAAGGCTTTGGAAGCTTTTCTCTCGCAGCATATTCATTTTCTAATTCTACGTACTTTTTGTCCAGAAACTATTTGAAGTGAGAAAAAAACTATACTATTATCCTAAGACATTGTGAACCAATTCGATATGGTGTAGTCAGATGAAAAAATGGTCGAAGAAATATAAATGACTACTTATATATTGCACTCTAGCATCAAGAATCCTACCACATGAACAAATAACATTGAGGAAGAAGTAGTGAAAAACGAATGAAGTGTAAGGTTTAAAGTTTCTGTAGTAAATAAACTGATTGAACACCTATAAAAAATGAGGTGGTTGAACAAGATGTCAAAAAGGGCAGTGATTTTTGTATTTGTGATTATACTTGCTTTGGGTACTTATTGCACCAAAAAGCATTCTTGATCTACTTTAACTAAAAGTAATTTGGTTAAGGTTTGAAATTTTTTGCTAAATTTCGTCCTATGTACCTTTTTTTATCCCTAGACTAACGCCTGTGTTCACTTTGTGATCATTTTGTGTTTTTAAACCTTTAAATCTAATTACAATGGTTGGTAAGACTCACAAATGTGGGTAACCAAATTGTTTGTTCCCCGTTGAGGAGGGGATGCAGTGTGATGACTGTAAAAAGTGGTACCACAAAATGTGTACACGCCTAAGTCCGATGGCATACAAAAGATCCTCGAAGCCTAACTCACATTAGCTTTGTATGTTCTGCTGTACGGATAAAAAAGTGCTAATTAAGAAGGCTATGGGCTTATTGGCTTTGGCCTGCAAGAAAAACGATGACACATGCGCTGACAACACCGGCACTGACAGTGACGAATGTGTCAGTGTAGTATCTGCTGTTACGCGACGACTCAAACAACCGACTCTGATCGACGCAAAAGTGAGATCTCCTTTTACATTAACAAGGGGAGTAATACCACCTGTTACTGACATTGATAACAATGCATCTTTAGTGGAAACCGACGAACTGGATAAAACCATCACCGTTCAAAATAGTCCCAATGTCTTGAGGGCTGAAAAATGGACTAAGGTACGTAGGAAACGAAGCGAAAGGAAAAAATCTGTAGGCAGTACACAGGTAGTTAATAACTCGCTGATGGACTCTCATTGTGAGTCACAAACTGCTCTACCAAAATCTGATGGTAAGAGTGAAACCCATCCTGGCGTGACTATGAAGAAAAATCGAATAACAGCTAAAACTAATGATTGTTTACTTGATAAGTCCTTGATGGACTCTCAGACCACTCCGCCAAAGTCCCATAGTAAAGCTTCGTCTAACACTTTTTTGAGTCACTCGCTCGACTCCCAGGACTGTTACAATAAAAACTAGTCGTAAGATACCAATAGTTAATATACAGGATCTATCGTTACGGTCGAAAGCTGTTAACACAGTTTCAAAGGAAGCTAAACCCCTTCTTAGTTTAATTATTTGGAATCTAGAGGAGTCGAAAGATAACGACCCTGCTAGAAGACATGCACATGACCTGCAGTTAGTGAAGTCTGTGGTAAGAAATGTACTACCTGAAGAGGTTTCAGGGGTACATATTACAAAAGTAATACGACTTGGTAAATGGGTTGAAGGCGAGACTCAACCAAGAAGGATCCTGAAGCTGGTTCTCTGGAGTTTTGAAGAAAGATATATTATTGAAAAACGCACCAGAAACGCGTGACTCAAATATCCGTATTCGACCAGATTGGCCGCTTGGGGATCGAATCAAGTGGAAGAATGCTCTTACGGAGTTGAGAACTTGCAAGTTAAATGGTGAAATTAACCTTACCATTAAGGGTTTTCGGGTAGTCAGGTCTTGGAAGCCAATGCTTCCGAGGCCTGTATGGGTAGAACGATTGATTTCCAAAACACCTTAAGTGTGTGTTACACGAACGCTCGTATTCTTAGAAATAAAACGTCCGAGCTAAGTCTGATGGTGGAAGAATTATGTCCCGATATAATCGTTGTTACAGAAACTTGGTTCACAGTAGATATAGACTGTTCTCCGTTCATTGCAGGCTATATCTGTATTAGAAGTGACAGAGTTTCAAGTCGCAAAGGGGGAGGTATAATATTATACGTTAGGGATTACTTTCGTATACAATCAATAATATCGGAGGCTCATATCAGTGGCACATGTGAGGTTTCATGTTGTAAGATTAAATCTAGAAGTGGGTTAGTGACTATAGGGGGAATATACCGTAGTCCGTTTTGTCTTGCTGACGACTTTATCTTAAGACACATCTGTTCTTGGAGTATGGCAGAATGTTGTCTCATCATTGGGGACTTCAACGCACCGCATATCAACTGGATAGAGCTTACAGCTCGAGGTAGTGGTTTCGATAGCGACCTTTTATCTACCGTTATTCAGTGTGCGCTTGTACAATGTCTCACAAAACCGACACATATTGATTTGCAACATGATCCGTCACTGCTGGAGCTCGCTCTCACCCACTACTGTGAGGATGTTTTTGATATTCAGCACCTTCCCCCCACTATTGAACAGTGATCACGTTGTAATTCCCTTTAAGTTTAGGACACATGGTATACAATTCGTATCTGCGCCAATAATCCGGCAATCAGAAACTGTGCTATCTCGACTGATTGGTCGGTCGACGAGGATGGATCGATCGAAGATGAATGGAATAAGTTTAAGGCTACGTTTAAGTCCGTAACGTCGCCGTTCATCCCATGGTCAGCACGTAAGCTATCACACTGCTCTCCATGGATTATTAAAGAAACCCGAAAGCTGTTAAAGCGTAGGAAACATTTCTGGAACTTATTCTTGTTGACAGGTCATGCATCATTTAAGCGTGAGTACCGAAAATTCCGGAATACTTGTAAGAAAACCATAGCTAAATCTCGTACTACTTGCAAACGACAACTGATATATGATAGCCGTACTTGTCCGAAACGATTGTTTTCGTATGTTAAACGGCGGACGAAACGTAGTGATGGTATTCCCCCGTTACTGTTACACGAAAATTCAGAATTACTAGCTGAATCAGATCGAGCAAAAGCTGAGACATTTTCAAACTATTTTAGCGAGGTCTTCTCCACGTTTATTGTAACAAATACTTGTCCCACTCACACCGAGATACCAACCATGGAATCTGTACAGGTGACTGAGGAAACTGTCCTTCCGTTGACAACTAACCTCAAATCTGGTAAGACACCGGGCCCTGACGGGGTACATCCACGGTTGCTGTCATCTCTTGCGTACATTATTTCCAAACCGCTCGCGAAACTCTTCAACATGTCACTTTCACTCGCTCAACTCCCTAGAGATTGGAAGGACGCTATAGTTAGTCCTATATTTAAGGACGGTCAGAGACATATAGTATCCAACTACCGGCCTGTCAGTCTAACTAGCATAGTCGTTAAGTTACTTGAAAAGATAATTCGGGTTAGGTTGCTAAGCCACATAGATTTACACAATCTGCTAGCTCCTGAACAACACAGACTTCGTAACAAGAGTTCATGCTTGACTAACTTGCTTAATGCGAGGGAGGATTGGACAGCAGACCTAGATAACGGTCTGTCTGTCGATGTGATATTCATAGATTTTAGCAAAGCGTTTGACAAGGTTTCACACGTAGGTCTTATGCAGAAGCTCACGAGCTTCGGAATAATAGGTACTGTACATGCGTGGACAGGAAATTTCTTATGTGACCGCAGACAGAGAGTTAGGGTCAACGGAACGCTATCCGATTGGAAGCCGGTCAGAAGTGGTGTACCCCAAGGCACCATCTTATGCCCCCTGCTCTTCCTTCTCTTCGTTAATGAGTTACCGCTGTTACTTAGGTCGACGACATTATTGTTTGCGGATGATGTAAAAATCTGGAGAACAATAAAAAGTGCGGCTGATCATCTGGATCTTCAAGCTGACTTAGACGATTTAGTTAGATGGGCTCGAGAGTGGGGCTTAGAAATAAATGCTAGGAAGAGTGTACTAATGCACATCAGTCACGGTAATAGTTACCGTTATACTATTGGGGATAAACCTCTTCCATGCGTTCAAGAGCATAAAGACTTAGGAGTAGTATTGAGTCATGATTTAAAAACAACTACGCATTGCAAAGCAGCCGCTGTCAAAGGCTTTCGAGCGTTATGGTCACTTCACCGAGCGTTCAAATCTTTTGACGAGGAAACGTTTCGAATTTTATATCCCATATATGTAAGACCACATTTAGAGTACTGTATCCAAGCAGCTAGCCCGTGTCTGGTAAAGGATACTAACTCCCTTGAGCGTGTCCAGCGTGTGGGAACGAAATTAGTGAAGGGTCTTTCTAGGCTCCCTTACGATGAGCGTTTAAAACGCCTAAATCTTTTCCCCTTGTCGTATCGTAGGACACGAGGTGACCTTATACTGGCATTTCGTATCTTTAATTATGATTTGGGTGTTAATATGTCTTATCTTTTTGCTCCCTCCAGCACTAATAATCTCCGCGGTCATAGCAAGAAGGTTCATAAACCACGATCTAATAAACTTAATGTGGGATCCCGTTTTTCTCATCGAGTAGTCAATCATTGGAGCGCATTAACCGAACAAGTGGTACCAGCCCCATAAGTGAATACTTTCAAGGAGAAGCTGGACCTTCACTGGAAAGCAGTACGTCAGGATTAATACAAGTTCATCAACCTACTATCCTTATTACTGAAGACTGAAGACTGATATATGCCTACATACAGTTTATCTGTGCATTATATGTTGGTTAAGAGATCGCAAAAAGATTCATAGTTAATATACAAAGATGCAGTATCGATTCCAGAAATTCCAAATTGTTGTTTTGATATGTTTATTTGTAATGAATAAAATACATAGAATGGAGATTGAGTGGTTCAAATGGTTGTGGACGGAATAGAAGTGGCTTTCGCGTAATGGGTTTTGTTTTTTAATAATGGTGGATCACTAATATCTCCAGGCAGGAAACTAGATATATTAACCATAAGAGAAAAAAAATTGGTAAATTCTGATGAGATACTAAACTTATTCCATAAGAAAAGGTCAAGATTCCTCTTAAAGGACTCCAGCGAAATCGCTTGGACTGGCTCAAACGGCTGCGAACTACATCTTTTGACAACTCTTAAGGAGTAGAAGTGGTGTCCACAATTCGTTGTGCTGTGTTGTATCTCCAGTTTCTATGTGTTGCCACTTAGATTTGTGTTGGAGCTAAACTTAAGTGTGTGTTTAAGGTGATATCTCGGAGTGTTAAGGATGTTGTAAGCGATTAGGATGTCACCTCTAAGACGCATGTACCCTAATGGGGAAAAGTTTGAATTAATTCCCTTAATTGATTTCGTGGTTCGCCATTGGATACGCTCCGGTGTCCTTATCCTTTTGGGGTGAGGGAAAATACTATGTTTACGAACTCCGTTGGGGACGAATAAAACTGTTGAAGAATATATGGAAAGTTCTTCCATCAAACTGGCAAAAATGCGCTCCAATGTTACCAGTGCGAGGTTTGCTCGAAAGGCATTTTTGTTACAGTTAACGTAAGACTTCGAATTGTAGGGTACCAGTACTCCTAAATATTTTTCAACTTGGGATACTTCTAGATAGGACTTCTCTAAGTTGTAAATGTAGTCTGCAACGTGTCGGAGATGGACTATTTTACACTTTGAAGTGTCAAAGGTAAGTCCGTTATCGTCTGTCCAACTTCGAAGTCGAGTCAGATCCTCCTGGAGTGTCTGTATGTCGTCTTGGTTGCATATCTCTCTCTCAAAAGTTTCACATCATCAGCAAAAAGTAATAAGTCTGACAATGCCTGTTGTGGAAGACCGTTTATGTAAATCGGGAAAAGAAGAGATCCTAGCGCTGAAACCTGGGGGACTCCACTGGACATTCCATAGCCTGAGAGAAAGTGAAGTTAACCCTGACCTTAAAATGTTAATTTTTAAGATATGAATTGAACCAATGAATAAGAGAAGATTTGATACCCAGGCGTTTGAGTTAATTGATAAGACACATATGGCTGACCCTATCAAATACTTTTGAGAATTCGAGGTATATGACGTTAATCAATGATGGTTTTCCACCTGCCCACCGCAGTCAGCACGTTGGTTATACAAAAGCGACCCTTACTGAAACCATGCTATTGGGATAAAAAGTAGTTTAGGGATAAGAAATGGTCATGTATACCGTTGTAAAACAGGGACTTCATAGAGAGGTATAGAGAGAAGAGCCACCTGTCAGTAGGTTGGTCGCTGTGTCGACCTCCTTTGAAAATCGGTGTGATTTGAGCCAGCTCCAAATTTTAGGCATTATGCTTCGGCTTAGTGAGTATGAGAACATCACGCTAAGCGGTGTTGCCAGGATTGAAGCTGCATCCCTCACTATAGGAGAATAAACCATTTCCAGGCCAGGAGAAGTGTCTTTTCTTAGATGCTGCAGTTTTCGGAACACCAAGTCAGCTCTCAGGCTCACGTCAGAAAGTCCTGTGCAGTTGCTGATGAAGCTTCCATCAATGTAGATAATATGGATCGGTTGAAATGTCCGAGAGTACTATTCAGCCTGAAGTTTAGCGGCGTCACTGTTATTATTAGTCAGCCCATTACGACCTAGTAGTTGAAATGCTTCATCTTTTTTCTTCTTAAAGAGAGGCTGCATAACGGAATAGGCATCTCCGGTTGGAGACTAATTTATCCATAAGCTTTATCTCGTACTAAAGCCTGTCTTCTATTGACTTTGTGCATATGTTCCTTATACATTTGTATTGTCTGTACGCACCGTTGTTATCAGTTCGTTTTTACTTTGCCCAGCAATGTCTTTTGCGACATAGTAAACGAAGAGTTAGGTTCCTGTAGGTTGCTTGTAGCTTTCGGGGACCGTCTGAAGATTGACTGATTTGTAGCACATAAGAGCGTGTGCAGCAAGAAATTCCAAAAAGCATCCATACCAACGTAAGGGTGAACATCCCAATCCCCCTGTTGTAGATAGTCCTGTAAAGATGACACATTCAACCGTTTAAAATTCCAGCCCCTTTTGAAGGTGGGATGTTTTAGCTCAGTTTTGATGGCATAACTGAAGGCTATAACAGTATGATCGCTTTCCCCTAGGTGAGCAAGGACTGAGAAGTTGTCAGTTAGGAATTCTTTGATTGTAAATACCCGGTTTAAACGCGACGGTATCTGACTGTTTCTCCAATGAGTTGCCGACTTCACATCCTCAATGAAGTTGACGAACCGAGCTTCAGTAGTATTTCCACGTATGTACTGAGAAATTGACTTCAGGAAGATTGAAGTCCCCTATAATTAGGATATGAGTGAGTTCGAGATGAGTAAAGCGGGATAACCCTTCCCACATGAGATTGTCGTACTCGATGTTACCAGTTGGCTTCCTGTTGATGACTCAAATTAGACATCTCGAGGTGGTAGACAGTCTTACTGAGCACCATACGTGTTTCATCAAGAGCGATTAACTGTTGGTTGTACACTTCATGTGCTTCCAGGCAAGAATGTAGGTATAAGGCTACTCCACCCGCAATTCCTGGTTTTCTGTCATTGCGAAACAAAGACATCCCGACATCTAATGCCGATAAACATAAACCTCTGACAGTTGAAAATGTATTACATCTTTCAACCTCTGAACATTCGACAAGGCCTTTAGCGTTACATCACTCTCAAGTATTATTCAGGTTTATGTAAAGCCATGGTACTTTTGTTATTTCGAACTAGCGGTTAATGCGCGGATTTCAAACTCGACATTTGATGGCGAACCGTAAAAGAAACAGGCCAGAGGATTGGGAGGATTTGGAGCCATCTCCAGTTATTCATATACGGGAGTTGCCAGAACATACTCTCGAGCTGGACTTAATTAGAGTTTTTGAACAGTTTGGCTCTATTAGGGATATTGCAATGATTCCACATAAAGGTCAAGCACTAATTGAATTTGATGACATTAACTCAGCAGAAAGAGCTGTTGCAAGGTAATCTTCAGTAATATACAAATTACATAAGTATAAGATGTTCAGAGAATGCCGTGATGTTTGCTAACCACCGATTGAAAGTTAACTATAGTACATCCAAACGTGTGGTCCACCGACCTCTAGAAAATGATAACCAGCACTCCGAATTGCCTCCCGAAAGCCGTGTACTTATGTTAACGGTTTACAATGCTCAATATCCTATCACAGTCGATGTCATACATCAAATTACAGCCAAACATGGACGCGTTTTACGCATTGTCATTCTCCGTAAAACCCGAATACAGGTACTTGTAGTTTGACATTTTACTTGTTCAAAGGCTATGGTGGAGTTTAAAAATACGGAAGAGGCCCGGACTGCTAAGCGGCACCTTAATGGGGCCGACATATATTCTGGCTGCTGTACACTGAAAGTCGAGTTTGCTCGTCCTACACGCTTGACTGTCACTCGTAATGATCAAGATTCATGGGATTTTGAAAATCCATTATTACTGTCGACCTCACTTAATGAAGCTGATGGGCGTGGAGATATTTCTCTATTAGGTAAGAAGAGTCTTCGCTTACTATTGTCTTAGGACGTTTTGAACGTTCACGTGCTCGACACGAAAGCTCAAGATCTGTTAATGGTGGCAACTTTGGCTATCATGATGGTTTCATAAAGCAAAATGCTGTCGGGCTTAGTGTCCCACCTGCTTCGTTCTTGGACCAGTTGGCTTTAAATTACCATGTATCGAGGCGTGGTCTCGATGGATTGAATGGTCAACCTTATGCTAGGGCTGCAACTGCTGTCATAATGGTATATAACATGGATATGGATCATATGAACTGCGATCGGTAAGTTTCATTCTCAAGACTTTATCAAGCTTAAAAAGCCTGATAATCAGTTTGGCCTTGCTCAGTCAACGTGGCTTTCCATACTCATAATTCGAACTTATTTCTTTATTGGTTTACTGGGGTATGATTAGTGGGTATACAACTTCCTTACCATTTGGGTAGGCATTAACTACTTTACCTGGTAGGTACACTTATTTAGGAAATGTATAATATTAATTAGTACTAAGACTGTAGCTGTTAGTTACACAAACCCGACATGTGTTGTTTTAGGCCCTGGTAAAGACCTTACGTGTGTAGCGACTTAGGTTACTCACCAGTCTATTTAAACAGTAAAATCAGACTTGTGAGTCCTTTTATTCGTGTACTTATTAATAATACACTTGCACCTAGATTTTCTGTCCTAGCATGTTTCTTACTCTTCGTTGTATATCTATCAGCTTACCCTTATCTATTTGGATTGTATTAGCTGATGCACAAAATTGAGTTGATTGGTCTCCATTCCATCTGCTCACATGAATCCCTGAAATATGTCTCAAACAAAGACTTTCGATTCTGCGTTTTATTGACATGAAAAATTGTACCATATATAGGGAATTGATTGAAGGTGTGTATGTTGAAAATCGACTAAATTACAGAGTTTACGAGGTGCCACAAGGTGGTGACCTCGATGTAATTGGTAGTTCCGGATCAGATTTAAGGAATACTTGTAAGCGAATAGGTTATTTATTCTAATACACAAAGTCAGATAGAACTAGTTTCAGTATATCCTTAGACCATCTGTTTTATTTTTATTATTTTATTTGAACACATAAATACTGGTACAAGGGGGGGCACCAGAAACATATGCGCAGCACAAATCTCATTTGATTTGTGTGAGTGCTGTGATTCTGCCCGGGTGCCCAGACCGAAGCAGGTGGTCTTCTTAGGGGGCCACACCCGGAGCATCTGACCTAAAGGTCCGACCCACAAGGCAGTGGAGCAACTTAAGGAAATTCAGTCTCATGGTAGCCGGTGACCAACAATTGGTTCATACGCCATTTGTTCCCGCAGGATTCTGGAGCCCATGTGCACCATTAGTTTGGAATAAGGGTTTTCCAACTCCCCTAGGTGGACTCTCCGTGACTAGCTATTTAAAGTAGTGCTTACTATAGTTCTACTGGAAATGGTCTCGTCAATTTTCTTGTAATTTACTGTGAATGAGTTTTAAATTGTAGGATGGACTACTTGTTTCCCACTAAACCAAATTTGCTAAAACTATTAATCCTTCCAACTTTTGGTAATTGGTCAATTCTTTTGAGTTTTTAATTATCACGCTTTCGTTTTGTTTTAGCTTGTTCAACCTTCTTTGTCTCTATGGTAATGTTGTTCGTATTAAGTTTTTGAGGACTAAAGAAGGATCAGCTATGGCGCAAATGGGCGATAACGTTAGTGTTGATCGTGTCATTACTAACCTGTCAGAAGTCCCATTGATGGGAAATGCATTGTCGGTATGGTTCTTTCTATCTTAAATTCATTTTGTTGTTTTGCTGATAGGTCACTAGTTTTTAAATACTAGTGACTAATAACGTCTTGGTTTTAGTTAGTCCTACGTGCTATCACCATATTGTTACCATATATTCGATCAGTTTGACCAAATGAATCCTTCACATATGTGCATCGACCCAAGTCGTCATTATATCACAGCAGTGATTATTATCAATGATAGTAAAAACAATTGACCGCTGATAGGCTTCCAAAAAAGATCTAATTTGCCTGAAGCAAAGTAGAAAGTAGTTTTTTAACTTCAGGATCTACGCTACTGTTACCGATTATGAGCCATCGTTCTCACTGTCCGACAATTGATTACTTCTATCGCACTGACCCCAACTGGGCAGTCTACACCAAGTAGCATGACTCGCTCCAGTATTCCTTGATTTCATGGATTGGTTTCTTATCTTTACTTAATCGCCTTTAGTTTTATAACTTACTCTCATACCAAACAACATCACACGGGTTGGTTAGTGGGGTTAGGTTTTAGTAACATTATGATCTACAGTCCCATCAACCGATTCTTTATCTTTGCCTAGTGTTCTCCTGATAATATTGCTCTTTTGTTTCACAGTACGTAAACAGTCTTCCAAATAGACGCTAATGTTAATGCAAGTTGACAAATCTAGGTCAGATTTCGAATCTGTTCCGAGATTTCGTCAGGTTCCAACTCACCAGGGTTGATGAGGCTTTTAAGAAAGGTAGACAGGTCAACGCACTTAAATACTGCTCTCCTTATGATCAATTTTGGTCAGTTAGGCATATGCGACGCTCCACCTAACCTATTGATAACTGACGCTCAACTGATCTATATATTCACACATATAACTGAGTTATATGTTCATTGCTCCTAACTAGCTCTCGATAACTAGAATCAATATGCATTCTGATAGCACTATATGTCAGAAAACTAAATTTAGAACTAGTCTCGCGAAAATACACTAATATTCATCTTATTTGAGGTTCATTCATCCGACATCCGCGATCTTACGTATTAGTCGCTTCGTAACACTTACACGGCTAATCAATTAACAGGGGTCGAAAATATACCCCTTCACGATTCAAAAGGAATATGGTTCGAAGTATTTCGTCTCCACAATCAATCTTCTATTCCTCTGGTCATCCCTGTAATACATATTTAACAGGATGTCTGTTCATCATGCAAATGAAAACACATACTACTCAATATCCAATTCTAACAGTTTCAGAACAGCAGTGAGCAATATACACCGACACAGTTATCATTCAACAAGTTAATTATTCTTTACTTGGTCGAAAACGTCTACGTTGATAACCCAGTAATCATTATCAAATACATTTAAACTCTACTATGTTCTATTTTTTCCTCAACTGCTTTCGTTTTTACTTGAGCTTTTCATTACTAAACTCGGAGGCTCATTAAACTGTCAAACATACTACAAGCAATTTTTCACAATGTTACACAAAACATTTTGTATCTGGAGCGCGGAAAGCTCATCTCAAACATAAATGTCACTCACCAATATAATAAGGCATTCTGTTATGGCTCAAAGCAGACAGCCGATTATATGACAGTGACTTATCGATCGGATCAAGGATTCAGAATCTCGATAGACTATTCTGGTCCGTTGTCCCCAACTCTGCTAACTCGATCAAGAAGTCTGTGTAAGGTGTAGAAAGTGTATTCTACAGACAACAGCAGATAACAAGTCAGGCAGATCAGATCAAGCATACAAGTCAAGCGTATTTATACAAATATTTACAATCGATATTGTCATGGAAGATTTTTGAACATTAATCAACAATTGACTGCTATTTGAACATTTAATCGATAGTTCATCAATTGACTTATTTGTACATTTAATCGATAGTTCATCAATTGACCTATCTGCATATTTAATCGATAAGTAAATTACAAAATTTGAGTTTTGGGGATCTATCGTCCCCAACACATTCCTAAGTTATCGGACTACCAACAATCAAGGCCAGACTATTTATTTACTTCTGGCATTACTTTCTTACTAATATAGTTCTTAGAATTGAAGCGATAAACTTCTTTGCTGTGTTCTGCCTTATAAAATTTCCGTTGATATTATTATATAGAGTCGTATTTCTCCCTTGAGGGCTGAAAAATTTATATTCACACCCTTCAAGTATTATGCTACAATTAGTCGCAGATGAAATTAAACAGTGATCCAATCTCATAGTTGATAGTATTATGAAAACAATATGTGACAGAGATGTACATATATTGTCGTAACGAATGTTTTTTGATCTCGCTTATACAAATGACACGTAGGCTGTCTAAACCGTGCTTAATCATTTACAATCATTATTCCATAATATGATATATACTTTACACCTTCGAAATACTAACTACGCTTATAAAACTGAAAGGAGCCTGGATCTTTACTCCTTATGTTTGTCCATTGGAGATAGGCGACAAGTTCATTTATCTTGATAGCCGTGTGCTGGTCGTGGCTTGGCTGATGAAATCAACGTAGGCATAGTCAAAGCAGAAAATTATGTTGACTTAGTCCATCTTTGGCTCCGTTGCAATGTTATTCTAGTTGTTATAGGTAGGGTATATGTATCAAAAAATGCACTTCTGCCCTGTGGATGTAAAACGTGGGCTCTGTTTTGATGTTTGATGATTTTCCGTATCTAGTCCTTGTTGCACCCAAAGGATCGTTCACATACGATGCTGACACTATCCAAGTAATCTAGAGGCCTGACAGTTTGCTCACAAATGATATTTCAGTTTACCGTATATCAACATATCGGCTTCCCTAGCTTAAGCTTGTCTTACTAGTGTCATTTTAAAGAGCTCTCAAATCACACATTATTTTCCGAAATTAGAACTTGGGAGGAACAGAAAGTCCAGTTTATGAAATATGGGATGTAAGGTAAGACTGGCGTCCAAGTTAATCACAACCATTTAGTTAAGGCTTCAAATATCATGCAACCCGATAGCTTGAGTTGTCATTAAAAATGGTTCAGAATAAAGACATTGTAACAATCCCGCTATAGTTTCTTACCTTTTCACATGAGTAAGCTCCCATTATAAAAGGAAAGATCTATCACGCTTACACTTCCATTCGGACTGCTTCTCTATAAAATACTACTTTTTCTCATTTATTTCTTAATTATGTGGTTTCCCGCTCTTTATTTTACTCGGTATCATCTACTCATTCTGAATTATTTGACCTTCTGCTTCGTTTTCGGAGTTTGTGTTATAAATGGAATTAAATGTAGGTGTACTTTTTGCTGTGCTGATAGTTACATTTAGGGTCCTAAAAATAAAAACTAAACGGAATGATATCTATCATTTCTTTTTGTGGTTAGCTATTGTAGTCAGTTGAATGTACTTAGTTTGATTTTTTGTGTAGCGGAAAACTCAGTGTTCTCAATTTACTTTTAAATTCTAGATTCGTCCAAGCAAACAACAACTTATCCTGGACGTACCGAAACCTTTTGAATTACCAGATGGTACCCCATCTTTCAAAGACTATTCAGGGTGTCGTGAAAATAGATATATAAATCCAGACAAAGCGAGTAAGAATAGGATCTATCCACCATCACATACTCTGCATTACTGGAATTGTCCTCCGAGTTATACCCCAGAGGAACTACGCAAGTTGATTGTTGAATGTGGTGCTTCACCACCTCGGTATGTAGTGCTGTTTCTCAATGTTCGCTTTCGATATTTGTCAACACCATACCACTGCTTCTTACTTTTATCCCGTGGTCATCTAATTGCATGACTAACATTTTTTCAATATGATAGTCATAAGTGGTAATAAAGTGTTTTTGTATAACGCCTTAAGACAACAAAATCTAATCAATCGGCAATACTCATCTTACTCCTATTCAATTTCACAGAGAAATTCAAGCAGTCGAAACATAGCATTGATAATAATATTTTCCGTCCATTAATTGTGCCATGCAAAATTCACTGCACGTGAATGTTGTGTTTACCACCGCCTGGGCGTGAAAATGTTTTGTCGGTAGTAAATTCGATAGTCATTGTAAACTAAGGGTATCTTCAGTTGTGGAGCATGATTATTCGCTATGATACTCTTGTAGGAAATAATGTTTGCAAGATTAGGTTCAGCACCATCATCAATTTGATTGGTACCAGTATGATAATTATTTAGGGCATTAAAGTGTATTTGGTTGTATATTCTTATTCATTAAAATAATAAGGTGCTTAAGTATTATTTCGCGACGACAATAGATATCTCATCCGTTGTGTTATCTGTTTCTGTTAAAGGTTAAACTATTGAAATAGCTTCCCATTCACTTATAATATGTGCTTATCGTTCTATAAGGTTTTGGGTGGTAGTTCAGTGAACTGACTTACTGTTTCGCCGGACTGTATCTTGTTTGATTTCCCTATGAAGAACATATACTTCTTATATGATATATCTGTCAGTCAATAAAATATGTATCTGTAGTTAATTCAGTTTCTTAACTTCTGTTCTTTTCGGATAATTCCTTATTTTGTCCAAACTGTATATAGCCAAATTGCACCTTTCCCAAGGATTAGTGATAGATCCTCTTCAGGCCTTGTAGAATGGGGAACAAAAGATGAAGCAGTTACTGCCCTTGCTTTGTGCAACCATCAAGCTATTCCAAACACCGAAGGTCGTTATCCATTTCTTCTGAAACTGTCATTTTCAAGCTCTCCTGTCAATGATCGAGCATTTTCAGGTTCAAAGAAGATTGGCTCATCAAATATTGGAAAGTCAGCAGCATCCGTAGACTCTAGCGAGTATGAATAGTTAATGAATAGGTTAGTTAGTACTTGTTTGAATTTTTTAAAGTTAATGGTTTTTTTATCTATTTCTTTTTGTTTGTTGTGTCATTTATCTCACCGCTTTCCCTGCGTATATAATACAGGTCTAATATACTCTTAAAATCATGTTATTATTTCCTTCGTAACATCTACTAACGCGGCTCATTATACTTTTATTTATTTAAAATGTTTTGGTTTGACTGTTTAGTTAATTTTCTACTGTAATTAAAAAATTACCCTTCACATCGTCTTTTTACACAATGCATTTGTTTTTGGAAGTACATTTTGATCATGTATCTTTTGTAGCGATCCATTTTTCTGAGCTCTAAATTACACAAGGTCTCAAGTATTCCTACATAAACTTAAGTATCGACGTTTCTTTGCTAATAATTTCAGATATTTTGTTTCAAGAAGCTTCAAACGCAATCCTACCTCTTTTTGAGACCTTCCTCCCAAAGCTGCTCGCCATCATAATTTTTTCATCCAAGTTAATTTATGGATGATGCGACATGAAAACTGTTTGTCCGTGGATCACATTAGAGTCGTCAATCGAACTCATGGTTTATTAAGTCTACTTCATTTTCATAGTAGACAATGGTAGTTTCTTTTTTTTACTTAAAAGCAGCATTTGACTTTGTACACCAGAAGGTTATGCGGCAGTGTCTGTCATTGAAAGGCGTACCTCAAAAGTACATGAACATTGTGAAGGCTCTTTATTCGAACACTACTAGTCCAGTCACAGCTTATGGCGAACTGTCATCTGATTTTGCAACCTAAAATGGTGTCCGTCAAGGTTGTCCACTATTTCCATTTGTTTAATTTCATCATAGATATACTACCGGAAATGACGTTCACGTCGACTGAATTTTCACGAATTAATCTCCTTCCCGAAGGTCCACCTATCGACTTAGAATATCCAGATGACAGTTCTGTTTGATGAAGATGCTGATAAGACGCAGAGTGGTTTGGTAGCATTGAGCAACAATTCCAGGATGTTTGGAATGCATTTCTCCCTTTCTAAGAGCAAATTGCTGCTTCAGAACTAGTCTGCGTCAACACCTGAACTAAAGATAGGGAGTGAAGTAGTCGAACGTGTCGACAACTTCACTTATCTCGGAAGTCTGATCAACCCTAATGGGTTGGTGTCTGACGAAATCTCTGCACAGATTCATGAAGCTCGTTTGGTTTTTGCCAACTTATGTCACCACCTATGACGAAGGCGAGATATCCGTCTATCGATTAGCGGATGGGTGTACTGTGCAGCAGTTCGTTCTGTGCTACTTTACGGCTGCGAAACGTGGCCATTAAGAGTAGAAGATATTCGCAATTTACTAGTATTTGATCACAGATATCTTAGAAATATTGCTCGCATCTGCTAGGATCATCGGGTAAGTAATAGTGGGGTTGGATTCAGGGTATTGGGGAATGATGGCAAATCAGTTGATGAGGTTGTGAATCTACATCGACTGAGATGGTTGAGCCATGTGTTACGTATGCCTGAACACCGATTACCATGACACGCAGTGCTGATTAGTGCTACGGTGGTTGGAAGAAAGTTAGGAGTGGCCAAACCAAACAGCCTTGACGGACACCACTTGAAGTTGCAAAAACAGATGACAGATCGCCATAAGCTCTGACTCGACTAGTAGTGTTCGAGTAAAGAGCCTTCACAAGATTTATGTACTTAAGAGGTACGCCTTTCAATGACAGACACTGCCACGGAACCTCACGGTCTACAGAGTCAAATGCTGCTTTTAAGTCAAGAAAATTAGGGGTGGTCAAACCAAAACGTGGCATCAGTGCTTGAAATCACTAACTTCTAGTCTTAGTCATGTTGGTAGATGCAGACCACTTGGTTGGGGTCCGCGTGACTATCGTAACCAATGGTTGTAGAGTCTTGGTGAAATGGCTCAGAATCTATCACAGTTTGCGTAGGTATATATACTCTTTGTCTTCCCTTAAACCGTGAGATTAAAATGACTTCATACCTTTCTTTCCAATAACTAATTCTTTCTTCCTGTATTATATCCTACGCAATCTTTCTTTTTATATATTACTATCATTGAAGTAACTACGTCTACGGATCTGGTGCTCATCTTGTATTAATGAGGTGTGGCAACTTGCACCGATGCATATATGTGCCTGGTCCTACGTTGTTTGACTGACTGTTAGTTGTTAGCCCTTTTGTAGTCTTCCAGTTCCTTCAAACACTTATTATTCTTTGTTTTACTTGGTGTTCATTCTAGTCTGATACCAATTTAAATGCCTAATGTAAGCTGGTTTAAACAGCTACTTTCGTGCGAATCAAAAGCTTTTATTGCCTTAACCACATGAGGTACATGCACAAATTCATTCATGTAGATATGTCTCCTTGAAAATCAAGTCAGGCTCTCTACTAAAAGCGTGAACCAGTGAACATTTCTCCCTTATTGACTGGCCTTGAAATGGTACGTCTGACCTAATCTATAGCTATTCCATACAACAATATTGGCACTTCAAAAGCTGTGATTTTTCTGTACAATTAACTATCTTTTGATGAATGTGCGAGCGAAACATTCGTTTTTCTGCTAAATAAATGCTCAATAAATATAAGGGGATAACTGGAATTACAGGGAAAAAAGTGTAATATGAAATATATAAGTTGTCACGCTACCCTAGGTTTTTACAATGGGATAACAGTTGCCAAGAAATAATCCAGGTTTAAAAAATGTTTTTGGACACATAAACAAGGTTCGCACTTTTGAATACTCAATACTTCCATCTGTTCAGCAATGCACCCTTGATAATTCCTACACATAGATTTAAAAGCTGTTTTAATGTCAATCTTATAACCTGTTTTAATTGTTTTGCTACGGGGAGCATGATTTTACTCCTGCGTTTATCGAGGTTTGGGACACTAATTGATCATGAAACAATTTCATCATTAATTATTCCTCTCTATGTATGTGTTCACACACATGTTCATTGGTTATTGCATGAGGTGTAATGTTGTTTAAACTGTGTTGAGGCCTATCTGAAATCATTTGATTAGTCTACTCATTTATAATCAATTTTGCAACACTGTATCTTTTTTTCGATGGTCGCTTTCAGTCTCTGCCTCAAAATCATGCTGTTTGATTCTTCTTTATAAACTTTGAAGAACATCTGTTTGATGTCATTTTTTCAGCCATCCATTTTATATCCTCTTCAATCGTGTCTATATTTCAGATCCGTTGAATCTTATTGTATTTTCGAATCGCATGTATGTGAATTCATACATGCAGAAGAGCAATCGGACAGCACCAGTCAAGGATGATGAAACATGTGCCAAAGTGGTTTCATGATCATTTAGTTTCGAACAACTCGATTATTTCAGGGAGTGGGAAATCATGTTCCTCGATAACAAGACACAATTTATCCTCTTTTTGTTTTGTTGCGAAAAGGGACAACATGAAGTGGCTTTTTGACACGACTTTCTGCCTTGTATTCATTAGAACTGTTTCACTATTCAGTTGATCACTTTGTTCATTCGTGTCACCACGCTATCGTGTTTGGTAAATATCTTATAATTAGGCCGTATTGTTTATAGAAGAGTTTGCTTTGTGCTATTTACTCATCGATGCATCTTGTCTCTGGACTATTGACCATTTTCTACGTATTTATTTGCGTTCATGATTATGTGTACATTGTTCGACTCAAAACTGTCATCGAATAGCACTTCTGTTCATCTGTATGCCTAACAACTTTTGTTCATGAATGAATATCTTTTGAGTTTCACAATTTCTTTATTGATACTGACCTTTTTAATCCATACAGTACACAACACACGTTATGTACATTACTTCTACTAATTAAAAACTCCATTTCCTGTATAAATGTTAAATACAAATAACGGATTTCGCCAATGCATATGAATACATTTATGCTAAACCCGCATATAAAAAAACATGCGTTAGGGTCACTACGCTTTCTACTAAATATCAAGTGATTACACATGTTTATTCATCTTATCTACTAAATTAAAAACTTGTAATCGAGTCAATTTTTTGCAGTCAGATACTAATTAATTTAATGGATTTTCGAGTCAGGTTAGCCGAATTTTATGAATTCTTGTATTATGACGTAACAGTTCGTGGGTTTTAGTTAAAATGGACTTTTCAGTGAATTTTTGTTCACAGTTATTTCGTAGTAATAGTTTAAATCATTTTCTTTTAGCTAAACAGAAGTGAACTGTTCATGTTATCCTATATAAGTAACATTCTTTGATTAGCTTTCACCTATGTGTCGTTCTACAGTTTATTTTTGTTTTTAATTCAAGTGAATATAACAACATAGGATTTCTGAATATTTGAAGTTCCTTCAATAAAACTTTTGTGACAGCAGAATTCACATTATCTCCAATGTGTAGTTTAGTTAGCTAGGTTTCAATGAGATTGTTGTTTAAATTTTATTCGTAGTTATGGTACCCTAATGTTCATCTTTAAAAACACTAATATCGTTCGACCGAATTCATTTGATTAGTTCTTATTTTTTGATTGAACCAAGAATCAATCATTCTCTTGTTTTCCTTGCACTTTATTTATTTGCCTTCTATTAACTTCATTATTTTCGTAATCCTTTGCTACTAGTTTTTTGAAACATAAATAACATCTTTCGGTTTCTGTAGAGTTCTACTTGGTCATATTTTAACCGGGTTTTTCTGACTATTCTGTTTACTCGTGGAATATGGTTTGAAATAGTTTTCGGGTTATGTGGAGTGTTATGTCAGTAAGCATATTGCTAATATGTTACATGAAGTTGTTCATATTACATTGTAATAACAATATTTTAATTTGACATTTGATATACATAATTCTCAAAACATTTATTATAAATTCATGGCCAAATATCATAGCAAACTATACAAGTTAAAAATATCCGTGCTCTAATTGTTCATTGTTTCCCCCATCAGACTATCCGTTCAACATAACAAACGAACACAGCATTTGTCATCAAAATTTATTATCATATTCTTCACATGGTGATTCCTGTGGTACAACAATCAACGCAGTCGCACTATGCATTCAACTAAATTACATAATCGCATATTGAAGCTGAACCACACATCAATCTTCAACGTCAATTTATTATTTCAATTTATTCATACTGTCATTCTTCCCTTTTCTGTTTAATTAGTCTTCATATATATCTATATCTATATATGCATCATTGTCATTTATTAAAATTGGTGTGTCTATTACTTGTCGCTTGCCTGTTGGCTTTAACTATTGCTAACTGACACTCATGAATATGGAGATGGCATTTTAAAAAAATTCTAATACAATTTTGATGCTAACTGTTTTCTGTTTAACTGACTGTATGTTTATGTGTTCCTGACACCGTTATTTTAATGTTTATTTGCATGCTATTTTCGCATTTAGGACTTATAAGTGGGTAAATTTATTATGTTTTCGCAGTAAACATATATCCTGAATAGTTAATTGTGGGTTTTATGTCTGGTTTGACTATTCCTATTGGTTTTGTTGATTACAACATACCATTATTTTCGTGATCAGTGTACTTTGTCAGTTACCATATATAATTTGCAGGTATTTTTTGTTTGTGCGTTTTCTTTGACTATCTCTGATTGTTCATACTTTGTTAGTGCATTTAAAAATAATATACACAAATAAAAACATTCCCTTAACAATCTTACACAGAAATAAATGTGAATGGCTCTTCATACATTTTACTGTATAACTGACGACGTTGATTTCTCATCTGCTTGATGCAGATTTAAATAAATAATGCGGAAGTAAGATTTTTGAAAATAAATAAAATGGTCACATTCTATTGACCAGTTGGGCTTTGTATGTTTTTAAATACATATATTTGATAAAATCCTCAGATCAGAATATTGCAACATACTCTCATCTGAACATGATATAGATTTTTCTTATGGACTGATATAATGAAATCCCAACCTTGATATATTGAACAACATATTTTTGTGCAGTATTCTGCGTTGTATTATGGCCGTTTAATCATCAGTATACTTGATTGCATTCATCATATTTAACCATAGATTATGTAATATTCTTTTGTCTTTTGCATACTAAAACGACTGTTTTGATCCAGCATAAATTAGGTTAAAAATATTCAGTAGGACAATAAAATCTCATTAACAATTATATATTTGAATTTATTTCAACTGATGTCTGCAGTACAATTGAGCTGTATGTGTTGCATTTAATATTCGTGTTTCAGCATATATGTGTATACAAATGTGATACTATCTCTGCTGAAGTGGGAATGTGCAGAAGTATATGTAATTTCAGTATCACTTCCGTAGGTGTTTAGTTTACTGCTTTACTATTTACATTTTAAAATTTTGCCTTCTATATTAGGTCACTTTGATTACCTCAAGTCACTATTAACATGTGCGTTTTTTTCTAACACCTAAGCCAACTTTTAGCTAATCGAAATCATTAGGAATTTTGTTTATTGCGTAAAAAATTACCATATATTCTGGAGTTTTTCACCTTGTTTGATTTTAATCATTTTAGACAGTTTCCCTCCGTCTTTATTTATTAGTTTCTTCGTGAATGAATAAAAAAGATATCTTCTGTTTATGTAATGAAAGTTTTTCTAGCATTCAAATGATACATTTTGTCCTAATAACTTCTTGAAATTTGTTAGTTTTTTCTGATTTTATCTTCATTGTATTCAGTTTACAGAGCACGTAGAACTAAAAACACTTCACTTATTTGTTCTTTAGCATGACAGATATGTGCATAATATATTTTCAGTAATTGTATATAATTACATTATTTCATGTACATGTGGTGAAAATCATCCTGTAGTGGTCAATACAACTGTATTTCATTGTCTTTATGGACACAAACCAAAGATGAACTTATTCAGAGTACTTGAAGTTCCACTATGATCAAAATATTATGATTTATGTTCGATATGTGTAGAAAATTTAGATGTATTTACATTGTCAAATATAGTAAAGTAGTGAAAAGCTTTTAGTCGAAGCCTTTTGAAACGCTAATTTCTTTCAAGTGTATTAGCAAACATAAGCTTTTTCTTTAGATGTGATAAGCAGATGTCTAAGTCTTATATTCAATCCTAGAAAGCCGGAAAAATATCAGTTAGCGATTCCTATTATTGCCGTTTATAGTTTAAGGTATGTTGGTGGTCTTGGCTATAATTTTCATAATAGCCGTGTTATTTAAGCAGAAAGTAACGAGTATGATTAAAAATTGGCTTAATTAACTGGGATTTTGACCATCTGCCATCACACTTCTAATCCCTCAACTTAACTCATCACAATTTGTTTTTTTTTGAGTTTTTGTCAATTATTTTCATTACATGTTTCGATGTTTCCGCATGTTCTCTCGATGTATAGTTGCTCATCAACAGTTCATCTGTGAATTTAATCTTATACTAATTTCTTAGGACTATTGACTTCTTGACAAGCTGTCATGTTGGATTCATCATCATAATTCCTACATAATCGATTCCTTTTCTATTCGCTTTGTTAAAAATCATTAGGCGTAATACAAAGGAGATAAGTTTAGCGTATTTTATGAAATTATTGCTTAGGTAGTTTGCACCATTTCTTGCATCCGGAAATGTAAAATGTGACATTGTAAAATAATGTTCTGTTTCTTGCATTTCGTTTGCCTGTTATTTCATGGTTTTCTGGTATTTTTGTATATTGTATACATTTTTGGAAAGCCGAATATAGTCGCCGTTCTATGGCTGCTTAAGGATTTGTATACGCAGCCACCTTTATCGACAGATCGTTGACGCTAGTTGCTTTTTGTATGGGTTTCATAGTAGTGAGTAATCAACAGTGTTGGTGTTTCACATTGATTTTTTTGTATCTAATTAATAGCAAGAGCAAAGAGACTATAGAATACACTAAGATGTTAAGCTTATAGGTTCCTTAAGGACAGTGAATTTAATAAACGTTGCACCTCGATCGCGAACTTATACAAATATTTATTGTGTGAAACAATCGACTTTATTATCACGATATTAAAATATAGTGAAAAAGCATTTCTAGAGATGAGTTTATTCCTTATGGTCTTCAAAATGTTACCCAAAGTTCATTCGAAAACTGTCATTTGTCTTTTTAGTTCGTCGTAGTGCGTATGAATTTTAGTTTATTGCATGAGGTCCAAGTTGAATTTGGAGCCCAGTATGTGTTTTGCATTACCGGTTATATTGTTTTGGGAAACCAAGATTCAAATGAATACAACGGATTTTTTGCCCTGATAAATTCGTAATGTACAAGAAATCTTATCAGTCACCGCCAACATCACTATGTTAGTAATTAAGTTTCATGTTATATTGCTATATCAGATACATACTGGATAAGGAGCATATGTTGGTAACACGGCTTGCAAGCTATGCTATGTGGATTGTATCATTTACACATGTTAGTACATTGTGACGGGAAACTTTGTGTTTTAAGTGGACCTACATTTCAAAGGATTCTTCACTCTAAACATCTTAGCCATCATTTTGAATACAAGCAAAAAAACGATAATTTGAATACCATTATTGTCACACAAACAAGAGTAGGCGCAGGCGTTTACTAAAGTTCCCAAATTCACTATGATTGTCATTATAACATTTTCTTATTCACGCATCACACAGTGTAGAACTTGGTGAAAAGCTGTATAGGTCATGCGATTAAAAGACAATGAGGATTTAGAACGAAGTACTCAGATGTCAGAAACATGTAGCCCATTTTTCCAAGCTGGTCGTCAACAAACGCATTCCCATTCTGCTAAAAAAAACTCAGTCATAACAAGTTGCTAGCCATTCTTGTTATATGCTTGTTGTTGAAAATGTAAACTGGACAGTTACGGCAATATTTATAAGGTCCGCAAGGTGCATAACAAACAAATAATTTGTTACTGTTTTCGTCTACATTTGGGAAATGTATTGGGAGAATACTTTGTTCTAATTTTCTAGAGTGGAGAGGATATTTCACGACTAGTCTCATAATCTGACAATGCATGCGAGAGAGTCTTTAGCTCTAGGAGGTGTTAGGTTATCCGAAATTCAATTAATTGTTTTTAGAAGCATATAAAAAAATGGTCGCCAATATATATGCATACATGTGAGAGGAAATTTGTCGAGAATAATGTTCGAAAACTAGGAAGTCAGCTAAACACTACTAGCTGAATTCCCGATTTAGCACTACCTAGGTATTGGCACAGTGCATTTGAAGATCCTATATTTTCCACCTAAATTTCGAGGTTTCTCCGTACTGTCTTCGTTGTACCGTTTTCAATACATATCTAAATTTGATTTGAGTTCATTCGCACTGTCTGATAGCCTCCATTCTTCAAGTAATAGAAGTGATTCCATAACAGTCATCAAGACTGAGTCCATATTGCTACATGAAATGTATGTTATGTTAGAAGGGTACAAACTGTTTTCTGAATCAGAAACTTACAGTTGGGTCAGTGAGCATTTGCGAAGCTAGCTGAAAATAAGATAGGATAGAATAATTCCATTGTAAACATTTAACCGCTACTAGCTAAAACTAACATATTTAATAACAGGCGTAAGGTACATTTAGCTTGTCATCCAAGCTTATTGCTTTCTTCCGTCGTGAAAAAAGCGGAAATAATCCCGAACAATCTTTGACATTTTTTTCACCAGGGGTTTTATGAACAACTTTCGAACTCATCAAAGAGATTTTGTTCCTCAAATGTGGCTCCCACAGTATTCATTCCTTTGGGCGTCTGTAATGTGGATGCGCGACTTAAAATGTCTGTGAAGCCGCTCCACCTCCTTCACAACGATAGGTGACATTGATTTATACAGTGTATGTCGACCTTGCTAGACAGATCAGCGACTGCTTACAAAATTATATACGTATATAATCAAAAGCGGAAGCATAGTTCAGCAAAAGCGCATCGAACAAGCTGAACACTATATTGTGATGCAGAAAAGCAATGTCATCTATGGTGCTTCTATTGCATTTACGTTCTTTTATTGCCGATTGAAGTGGGAGTATCAATAAATTTTCCATTGTTTTGAAGAAGGTTTAAGTTATTGCTATGGGTTTACGTTTCATATTCTTATCACAAGATACTTTCTTAGGTATAGGGATTGTTTTTCTCCATATACTTGGTCAGAGATTACTTGAAAAGTATCTGTTAAAGACATTTGTGAACGTACAACTCAGCACATTTTTTACAAAGGAGACTTGAGATTTCAACAGGTTCTAAACATTGGGATGAAGTAAGTGATTGGAGACATTTCCGAACATCAGTCTCATTGTAACCACAAACACATATATTCTTCAAACCTGTGGATATAAAGAGCATGACATCAGATGACTGACATACAAGCCTTATTTAAATCACAGACATTCAACCAGTTATCGCTTCTAATTTGGCCTGTAAGTTGTTAAAAGCGTTTTTACAAGATAAGAGTTTCTGAGTAAACATAGAGTTGAGACGTCTAATCTCTAGGTTTATTAGCATATTCAGTTAACGCACTTCGTTAGAATTTCTGTCACTACATTCTTTCATTTACCCTCCGTAGTGCTTTTATTTGTGATGTAATTCGGTCAAAATTTTCAAAAATCGTTTTAGTGGGACATGTATCAAAACGGAATTTAAGATAACCAATGGTAACATCCGTAGTGTTTTTCAGTAAGTCGTTTGTAAATAAGTTCGACATAGTCGTACAATGCATGGTTTTCGGATTTTGAATATTTTCTGGCTGGTTCATTTTTTTGTCTGTTGTAAAAGTGTACTCCTTCCTACACCCAATCTCCAGAGATTGGGTGCTTAGTTTGGGAAAACTTTCAAAGTCAAATGACCCTGACCAAGGTTAAAGGGGGATTTTGTTATTTCGGTGCCATTTCCGAAAAATTGGGAGCTCGGGTAGGCATTGAAGATAGTTTACCTTGTTAATTGATGATCGCCAGTTACAATTTAGCCTCTCCAATCAACACATGGTCAGTAGGCATTCTGTTCAGTGCGTATACTCAACTATCAAACTGTCTTTCCCTACTTTCGGTAACTTGCAGCGATAGGTTGTGGGATCCTCGTAAAAGCTCCCGTAAAGTTCATGCGATTAAAAGACAATGAGGATTTAGAACGGAGTACTTAGATATCAGAAACATGTAGCCCATTTTTCCAAGCTGGTCGTCAACAAACGCATATAGAGTCGTGTTTCTTGTGAACGTAATTCGATTTTTTTACACCTGAAGATCTGTTTTCGTCCCTGGCATCCGTCCGACTGCGGTGAACATTTTTTTATCTGTCGTATTGAAAAAACTCTCACAGTATCTTGACAATTGTCTTTTGATTATAAACACCTGTGTTTCGACTTTTTCATTTATATCTAATTAATACAGTATTAGGGTACTTAATTTGTGGCACATGTGTGCTTAACGATATCCTGAAATGCTGTTTACGCATATAAATAATTGTGCTGTAGCGGTATATAAATCCCCAAAATAAATAGCTCTGTAAGTTTTTGACATTGGATGCTGACCACATTAATGGACTCACCTAGCTGAAGATGCTCGGTCATGCATCCGCACCAGATCACGAGTGGGAACGCTGTGCTCAACAACCCCTACAATCGCTTGCCAGATTAGGTCAGATGATTCTCGATATATTGATGGGCTATCAAATATATCTTCGAACTCCCCTGGTTGTCTTTTGAATTCACTTTGTGGGTACGATTCATATTAGGTGTTACTAGTTAAAGCGTTGTCAAACTACGAATACCTGTGGCATCTTTAGTGCCCTCGCTATAAGTCTTCCGTGTTAATGTTAATAGATGCTGGTACTTGGACCTAGTGTTTTCAACTTTTATGTGAATGTCGGTACTGTTGCAATGCTGAGAAATCACAGAGTAGTTCCTTTTTATCATCAATTAATTGATTATGTTGAGTTTTTGGATTGGTATAAACGAGTTGGACAGGTTGCTTTACACAAATTAGCTTTATGATTGGAAGAATCATTGGCTCACGATTTTTACTTGTAACATCACGTCAGAGATCAGTGTCTCCATGGTATCCAAGCCCTTAGTGTTTTGCTATTGGTAAGTTAACAAAACCTTTTTCATCTTTGTTATATCCCGGTGAAGATTAAATTACAGGTAACTCCCGGGGACTATTAATGGACTAATATTCTTATTATAAAACTATTGAATAATTAGATTGTCTATATTTATATTCCTCTTATTATAAGCTTTATTTTGACCTATATTTTATTATTGTACTATTTACGATTCTTAAGCTATGCTCAGTCTATTAATTACTGT